AATGAAGTGGGCCATTTTGGTGAACATGTCCACCACCACTAGCACTGCCGTCTTGCCCCTCGAGCTGGGTAGATCCGTGACAAAGTCCAGGGCCACCCTCTCCCACGGTTCGATCGGTGTCTGCAGCGGTTCGAGCAGTCCCGCCGGCGGTTTGTGCACTGACTTGGCCCTTTGGCAGGTGTCACACCTCGAGACGTAATCCGCGACTTCCCCCCGCATCTTGGGCCACCAAAAATCTCTGGCTACTAATTCTACCGTCTTCTCTTTGCCAAAGTGCCCGGCGGTGGGTGCGTCGTGCAACTGCTGCAGTACTTTCGCGCGGAGGTCGTCTCCCGGTACGTAGAGGGCCCCTCTGCGGATGAGCAATCCGTCGCGTATCTGGAACTCGTCGTCCTCCGCCGTGCCCCTTTGCACCTCTGCCATCTTTGCTTGCGCGAAGGGGTCCTCCTGCAGTGCTCGACGTACAGCATCCAGGTCCACGGTTGCTGAAGCGCACGCCCACGCTTTCGGTGCGAAAATGTGCTTGGCCGCTGCTGGTGCCGCCTCCTCGAGGTATTGCGGCTTTCTGGACAGTGCATCCGCCATGATGTTGTTGTCGCCTGGGATGTACTCTATCCTGAAGTCGAAATCCGCAAAGAACTCCGCCCATCGTATGTGCCTCTGGTTCAGGAACCTTGCCGTGCGCCAGTACTCCAGGTTTTTATGGTCCGTGCGGACCTGCACTGTGTGTTTGGCTCCAATGAGGAAGTGCCGCCACGCCTTGAATGCTGCATGAATGGCCAGCAACTCCCTGTCCCAGATGGTGTAGTTCTGCTCTGACTTGCTGAGCTTCCTGGAGTAGAAGGCACACGGTCTCCAGTCCCCATGCGGGTCTTGCTGCAACAGTACTGCTCCCACGGCTCTGTCTGAGGCGTCCGTTTCAACCCTCATCGGTCTGCTGGGATTCACATGCAGTAGCTGCTCTTCGGACGAGAAGAGACGCTTGAGTTTCTGAAAGGACTGTTCCGCTTGCTCCGTCCAGATGAACTTCTTCTTCTTGGAGCTGAGTGTGTCGGTAATGGCTGCCGTCTGCATCGCGAACCCCTTGATGAACTTGCGGTAAAAGTTGGCGAAACCGACAAACCGTTGGACCTCCTTCCGATTGCGCGGGCTCTTCCAGTCCAACACTGAGCGAACCTTGGCGCTGTCCATGGCGAGCCCCTTGTCCGACAACTTGTAGCCCAGGAAATCTACTTCCTTCATGTCGAACTGGCACTTTTCCAGCTTGGCGTACAGCCTGTGCTCCTGCAGTCTCTGCAGAACTTCCTTGACGTCTCCCTCGTGGGCCTCCTCTGATTCTGAAAATATCAGGATGTCGTCCAGGAAGCAGACGCATTTCTTGTAGAGGAGACCCGCCAATACGTGATGCATGAAGGCTTGAAAACAGTGGGAGCCATTTTGTAATCCAAAGGGCATAACTCTGTATTCATAGGTGCCCAGGGGCGTGAACATGGCAGTCTTCCATTCGTCGCCCTCCCGTATGCGAATCAGGTTGTACGCCCCTCGCAGATCCAACTTTGTGAAAACGCGTCCTTTCCTCACCGTTGCGAGCAGGTCATCTATCTTGGGCATGGGAAAGGCTGTGGGCTTGGTTTTTGAGTTCAAAATTCTATAGTCCACCACAAGCCTTTTTTGGGGCGTGTCCTTCTTCTTCACAAATAATACAGGACTGCCCCCACTGCCTTCGACTCCCGGATGAAACCGCGCTTCAAGTTGAGGTCTATGCACTCCTGAGTTCCTGCAGCTCGTCTTCGGACATGGAATACAGTTTCCCGGTTGGCAGCGTCGCCCCTGGCAGGAGGTCAATCTTGCAGTCATAAGACCTGTGGGGAGGTAGCTTGTCCGCTTCCTTCTCGCAGAAAACCTCCAAAAACGCTGCGTACTTGAGTGGCACTGCTTGCAGCGTGCCTAATTGTAGCTGCGGGTCATCCTCTTCCCCTTCCGGGCTAGGCAGAATGCAATGTTCCGCACAGTATGAGGAGCCGAAGGTCAGTTGTCGCTGGTACCACGCCAATGCTGGGCTGTGCCTGTGCAGCCAACTCATGCCTAATACTATAGGCGTGTCCGACAGTTGGGTGACATTGAAGCTGATGACTTCTCGGTGATTCCCAATTTGCATTAGCATCGGAGGCGTTTGCTGCACCACCTGCCCCCAGCAATTCCCTGCCATCCACCGTGACAACTTTCAGAGGCAGCGTGGCTGGCAGGAGTGCTATGTTGTGCTCTTGAAGGAAATCCAGTCCTATGAAGTCTGCGTTACTACCAGAGTCAATGGTAATCGGCACTTCCATAGTGAGTCCATTGGGTAGTTGGAGCGATGCTGTGAGCTGCACCACTGGTTTGGGCGGGAGGGGGTCTGTGGGCTGCAAAATCTCTGGGGACGGCTTCATTGACTTGTCTGGTTGGGCCCCAGTGCCTCTTCCTCCAACCAGACTCTGTCGTTTCCCTGCTGTGTTTCTCTCTGCTGAGTTGCTTCTGTTACTGTTGCTGAGGCTGCAGTGTGCTTGTGGAGCCTCTGGGGACACTCTTTCGCCATGTGCTGAGCACTGTCGCAGATGTAGCACTTCCTGTTCCCTCTAGGAGGCTTCGCTTTGACTGCTCCCGGTGTTAAGGCTCTGGTTGTTGACTGAGCCCTGGCGCCTCCAATCTCCATCGGTTGCTCTCCCCCTCCTTGCGGAGGTGGGGATTGCACACGCGCTGTATCCTTGGGAAAGAGGGGAGGTGCTCTCACTGGCGTACGTCCCCAACGTCCTTCTTCTCTGTTCCATGGACGTTCTTCCAGACGCACCCCAATTTGCAGCGCCCGCCGGACAACCTCCTGAGTGCTCTTTGGTCTCTCCCCCCTTGCAATCTCATCTTTCACATTTGCATTCAAGCCTTCCCAAAAAAAGGTCTCTGACTGGGGCAGAATCCTTCTCCCCTCCCCGCGCATGGACTAATGCAAAAAGCGGGAATGGTACTGCCTTACACTGGCTCTGCCTTGTTTGAGCCCATGTATGTCTTTTCTGGCGATATCAATGTCTATATTTGATAAAAAACACGAATCCATCGCTTTAATGAATGCATCCGCATTTTGGAGCGCCGGATCCTTATCTCTCCACAGATTGCGCAGCCACGCTTTAGCTTCCCCATGCAAATGGGACAAGATAAACCCCACCTTCTCTTGCTCATCTCTAAAGTCTTTATCCAGCAGTTCCAGCGCAAACAGCACGTCTGCTCGGAAGTTAGGGTACTGCTGCAAATTCCCATCGAAATGAGATACCAGGCTGCCTCCTCTTTTCCCCAGCCCAATCCCCTCTGATTTGGGTCCCGGTTGCCCCTGCTTAGCAAGCACTTCCAACCTGGCTTGGAGATCCCTGCAGGCGGCAGCCGCTTCCTCTTCCCTTTTCCTGGATGCGAGTACCTCCGCGTTGAGTTGTGTCACTGCATTTTGCAGGGCTGCTAGTTGCTGTTCTGTAGTCATCTTGCCTGACTTTTGTGAGCTCGCAAAGCACCAATCTTCTTCCCTCGCTGCGTCCACTCACGTTACGAGGTTTTTGGTGCAAAACTTTAAGAGATGGAGCTTACTGTCAGAGCTGGCTCCAGGTCCCAGCTCACAGAGGACCAACGCTAGCCGGCAGTAATGTGCAAAAGTCTTTATTGAAGTACAGTTTCCATTTTCAAGCCGGAGCGCCCCAGCTCTACGTCTAGGGGTTAGATCGGCGAAGCTCCATCTGAGTCTCCGCCCCTGTACACCAGTTTAAGATTCTAGCCTTACTCCACCTCTTACGTCTCTCCTTTCTCCTCTGGGTCCTGCTACCCCCCGGGGTCCCTTCCTTCCTGGATTCTTCTGACGCTGACCCTCCTGACTCCTCCCCTCTTTTCGGCGGGCTTTGGGACCTGGCTCCCTATCCGGGCTGCCAACTGCGCCGCCCTCCTGTACATTTGAACTTGGCGCGCGCGCCCAGCCTTCAACCTTCCTCTCGACCGTTTCCTCGCTCCCCGATGGAGGCGTGGCCAATCCTGACTCATGTCCTCCCACTGGCAGTGCGCCGCCTGATCCCGATGCCTGGGACTCCTCCCCCCCTACTGCACTCTGGTGTGGACGCTGGTCCTGATTTCCAACTGCTGCTCTCTGAGTCCCCTCTGGCCCCTTCTTCCTGGGGTGTCCCCTCGGCACCCCCTTGCTCTGACCAAGGGAGCCCCTTTCTGTGAATCTTCCGATTCGCTGGAAAGACTCAGAGACCTCGGACCGCTGTCATCGCTAACATTTCCTTCGGACTCCTCCCCCTCGCTCTCTATTTCCTCCCTTTCCTGTGCCTCTGCTCCTGAACCCCTGACAGATACTAATGTTGGGGATACAAAGTCATGTCTTTTCTCCAATGCTTCTTGGAGCCGGAGGCAGCCTACCCATGAGTCGAGGTGAAGCACCCACCTCAGGCAGAAGTGCAAGAGGCAGTCCTCCACCCACCCCACCACTTCCACTGTCGAGAGGGAGGCTCTCCAGCATGCGTCATAGATGTTCATCTTCCCTGCCCTTGCTGGAGAAGCCAGGTAAGCAGCATTGTTTTGAGGAATGCCCTGACTCCTGCTGAGTTCAGAGAGAGCCGGGGCATTCCTGAGTGCCACATTGCCATTTGGCTGTCCCTCCTCAAACACCCACCCCCAAGAAAGAATCTGAGCACCCAACTCCCCCAGAGTTGTGCACATATCATGCTTGCTTCAATTCAGAGAGCCACAAACATAGCAAAATTCTGTGTGCACCCATTTCTGCGCTTGTGAGAGCTTCGTCCTTCTGTCCAAATGCCTCCCTCCCCCTCTCCCTGCGCCAAGGTCATTAGCATCTAGAGCTGTCACAACGTCCTCCTTTACAGAGCTCTGAAATGTTTCCTAAAAGCTGTGCATATGTGCATTTGCAGGGAGGGTGTAATTTGCAGCAGACTAATTGCCCTTCAGTAGACATAAAAATGACACAGCTTGAATGATCTGGAGTGTTTTAAATGGATACTTTAATGACAATTCAAGGAATGTTCAAAGGCACATTTCACTAAATTACACAGATAAGAGGCACAAATCGTATCTACCATTTTACAAAGGTAGTTAATGATGAGAGGAGCACCAACAGACTTGGATACCCTTATCACCAAATTGTCAGTTATCTACATACCTGTATAACATTACCTGAAGTAAATTGTCTTTTCCGGGAACCATTGGTCACATTATCATTGGACATTAACAACATAAGAAAAAGCTGCTGGATCAGGGCAATGGCCCATATAGTCCAGAATATATTTTCACAGCGGCTAATCAGATGCCTGTGGAAAACCCACAAACAGGACCTGAACACAAGATATGTGTTCCTTCCTCCCTTCCTGTGATTTTCAACAACTGGTATTCAGAAGAATCATGGTGGAGGCAGAGTATAGCCATTGTGGCTGGTAGCCACTGATTACCCGTAGAGTACTGTGTAAGGCTGAGGAGAACAGGGTTCAAATGCCTGTCCAGCCACCATGCTCACTAGATGACCATGGGTCAGTTTCTGGGGGATAGTCAACTAAGTTTCACTCAGAACAGACCAACTGAAAGTAATGGATCTAACTCAGTCATGCCCATCAATTTCAATGGGTCTACTCTGAGAAACTTAGTTTAATTCCACTCACTGTCTGTCAACTTAAACTATCCCACAGAGTTATGAGAAATAAGAATGCTTAGCAGAATACAACCCATTTTCATTTAGCTGATTTATTTTTATTTGTTTGTGTCAGAAGGGAAACATTTTGTCTAGCTTTCTACACAAGTGTGACTCTACTTCCCTAGTTTCTATTTTTAATTAAGGGGTTTGTAAGTTACTCTTGTTTCAAAAATGGCAAAGCAACTTCTTATGTGTTCAGAACATAGTGAGGGATTCTATACCTATTTCTGTAAAGTAATACATGTAAAATAATTACACACATCTCGTATCGTAACCTCACTTTTATTTATAGAGCCTTGGGAATCCTAAATTATCTCTCTTGCTAACTTTATTACCTTGCTTTTGCACTTAATGGTAGTTATTTCTCTTTAGTCGAATCCATGCTGAACCTCATATCTTATAATAGCTGAAACTACATTTACAGTTGCAAAATTTACAAAATTACAGTTTTGTCATTTTAAATGGCAGTAGACTAAGTACAACAGGCACTTGACAGCATAAACATCTAGTTTAATGAGCCACTAGAGTAAGCCTTTAACATTGATTTGTTGACTGTGAGATTTAAAAAAAAATTAAGACAAACAGAATTTTTCCAAAAGCATTGTGAAATGTGCAAAGTATCTGTTCTGGCTTGTTCTCAAAAGGCATAACGGATAAAAGGCCACTGACTTTAATCAATAAAAGTAAGTGAGGAATCATAGAATTCTGGAGTTGGAAAGGACCATGTGAGTCATCTAGTCCATCCCCCAGCTAGCAGGATCCTTTTGCCCAACATGGGTCTTGAACAAGAAAATAGAAGCTTTGCTTCACTACTACTTGATTTTTAAATGGACACTAAAACTCTTTTTGATGTGTTGATACTTCTTTCCATTTGTTCATTGAAAATATTTATAGGCAACCTTTATGGGTAAAACTCACCCACTCAAGGCCACTTATAATGCAACAGATAAAAATACATTTCCCACGATAAAAATACAATACCCAGCATGAAGGGCGAAATTGAAACATTTTCTTCAGAAACATTCTCGGAAGATAAGTCCCTTTTTATAGGCAAGAAGTCCAGCCGCAGCCAGCGAGGTGAGGAAAGCAGAACATCCAAGGAACCCCAAGAGGCCTGGGACAGATGGCAAGTTCCTCTCCAAAAACGTGGTAGTGATTGGGAAAGCCGGGACATCCTAGGTAGAATGTGCAGTCATTTTTAGAGCACAGCAATTTCAACAACAAAGAAAGCAACTGTACAATGCAGTTAAACAAAGTCCCAGAAAATAACTCTTGCTAGATGAAAGCTAGAAGAACGCCTATCTGGTATCTCAGCAAATGAGTGAGACTATAAGACTATCAGGAACTAGAAGGAGGTGGAGACAGGTACTATGGGATAGAGATGGTCAGTTTGAGGCGCAGAACGAGAGACTTGCAAAGCACGGGAATACATTTTCCCACTGTACTTAACTAACTAGAAACTATTTATGTGCAATTTTCTAGTGGGAGACTGCAGGGCTGTTTGGGCTTCTGTTGATGAAATACACTATGCACACTAGAAACTAGGCCAAGATTTCCATTTTAAGTTCATGGCTATTTTTCTATCAGGTATCCTCATAATAATATGGCAATAAATTATAGTGATGCAGTCATATAAGCCAGACAATGAAATGTTGCGTTCAGCCCTACAAAAAGAGCATGAGAAATCATACTTGCCTTTGATTCTGGTTCTGTTGCCCAAATTTCATTTTTTGAAATCCTTCCCATACTGCACAGTATCTGGAAGACAGAAAATGATATCCCACTAACAGTAATTCTTTTCATCACCATGCAAGTCATGAAGGCAGAAATGAGATAAAGACAACTGAGGGCCATTTCCTGCATTGCACATGGTGTTCAGACACCGTTTCCACATACTAGAATCCCACATTGCAAGATCAGATCTAAGATCAGAGTCAGATCATACACTTAACTTCCATGCTAATTCTCTTGGCTTCCCAGAAGGTACACCACTGATGTGGTAAGCACCACATTGTCTGATCATCCCAAATGATCCGAATTTCAAACATTACCAGTATGTTGGTGGTGCAAAACCAGACCATATGGAAAAATAAACACACCACAAGGGCAACTCATAATTCAGTAGGACAATGAGGTGAGATACGAATTGGTTCCATGTTTACTTCCCACAAATACTGCAAACCAGGAAGATTCATAGATCCAAGTCCTCAATATCTAGCCTACACAGAAAATACCGCAACATGTTTACAAAAGAGGTTCGGATGTCACAAGGAAGTTAACTGACACACACCTAATACCTTTATTGTTTGAGTCATCTGAAGTGGTTTACTTGATAGCTGAATGGTGCGCATTTGACTACTAAGAGCTATTGTTTAAATTAAAGCAGCTGCTCCACGCCATTCAAGTTTATTCTGGCTTAATTAGCATTCTGTTTGAAAAAATCCTATTGTACATAAAAACTTTGATTCAGGCATTTCAAGGATACATTAAACAACAATAGCTGGGATTCATTAGCAACTGATTGTTATAAAAGAATGTTAGTTTCTATTGTCCTTCTTTGGTCCTTCTGATTTGCTGAGAATTCTCTCTATAGCACAGTGACATTGAGATTTGAATACCAAGAAGACCCAAAATCTCATTGGTACAGCTATATCACTTAGGTCTTTAATGAAGATGCCCAGTGCGTTCTGGCTCTCTTTACCTCTCTGGCAGCTCTCTCTCCAGCTTGCACTGCACCTTCCATGTAGCCACTCCACTGAGTAGCTGTCTCTGTGCCAGCAAAGTAGACCCTACCTACTGGCTGACGAATGACCCTGTAAAACAAACATTGCAACACATAAGTCCCACTTGGTAGGCACTGAGAGCAAAGAGTTTTAGGCTACTGAACAGTAGCAGGCAGTATAGCATCAAATATTCATGATGTTCAACTTTTGCTATTGTTACAGATCTGGTATAAATATGTGTAAACGTGTAAATAAATCAGATTTCAAAGACATTGCTGACTCCACTGTGTCTCATTTTCTCCAAAGGAACACAGACCCTGGTTGAGTGCCAAGACCCTCTTTGAAATCTCATGCACTGCTTGGCAGAGATTGGGGTGGCCAGTAACACTGTGAAAGTTGTTTCAGGGAAGGTGCAAATGTTTGGAAAACTCACAGAACCTTCCTCTTCACTGTTCATTTCCCCCCCTCCCATTCATGATTACACCATTACCCTAATTGGCTATTGTTTCAGATGGAAAGGGAAAGCATCTCTGCTTCCCAACTGTGCCACCCTTGACTGTTCTGTTGACAGCATCATTGTCAATTTGTATTGTGCAGCAAGACTCTGCCCTGCCTCCAATTATCACGTCTAATTATGCAGTACTAATCGTTGCAGGATGTGGACTTGGTTGAACATTCAGATGTGAATCTCTGTCCACATTCTAGCCCAAATATTCTGCTAATTGTGACTGGAGCCGAAGGAGAGAACATTGGGTCCAGTTGCCTAGCCAATGGTGACATACCATCTAACCTAACACAGTAAAAAAGGAATGAGTGGGTGATGTGTTCTGCAAGAAACAAAAATGCTGTATGAAATGCAGCCTTCCCATTTTGCCTCAGCACTAGTAATCCCCAGTTCCAGAGGTTTAAATATATCCAACATCTATTAATAGGAATCAGACAAAGGGAACTGGAAATATGTGGGCCATTTCGGGGGTGGGAATCTCCAAACTGCCCCCTGCCCCCCGCAACTGTCTTCTCCTTCAGAGGTCCCAAGTCACATATTTGCTAGTAATCTGTGGTTAAGCCCCATGACTGTAATTGAATTGTTTCTCCTCAATGATGACTAAATCAGGAGCATGTTATCTACAACCTTAAAATAGATTATTATGCTTTTACAGAGTGCTTTACAGCATATTATTATTTTGCCTGCTGGCAATGGCTTCTGTTTTCTGGCATTTTTCTCACTAGGATAGCGTATTAGTATGCCTAAGTGTAGCAGGCTTCATATCTAGAAGGTTTTATAGTTCAACAAATTTCTGCTAGCAACAACAGAACAAGAGTATATTATTAGCTAGTTGTACCTTCCATATTGGCACATAATGCCTGGTGGCAAATAGGCTGAATAGCAGCCACCAGAATATTGTTCGGCACCCCAGTTCTTTTCTTCATAATGCACTGGCTGCAGGAATAAATCAAACAAAGTTTTTTTGTTTGTTTTTTAAGGCATTGATTCATGGCAGAATTTACATTGTAAATGCTGGATATTTTTCCAGGTTTCCATTACTGGATTACAGGGAGGTGTGTTAATTTACAAACGGAATACAATTCATATAAATCAGAGAAGGAGGTTATGCTACTTCACAGTGCTGACTCAATACTTTGGACTAAGCTGGGTTTCACTGTTACTGGCTATGAACCAGGCTGTGATTTTTGAAGCATTTCTCTAACACAAAGCCTGATTCATATCTCCGAAGAGCCGAGTGCTTTGAGGATTGGTAGGTAAGAGAAATGACTATTCTTGCAGTATGTCTATGAAGAAATGGTAATAATGGAGCAGAACTTTAATTTCCAGAACTTGCATTGTTTTCACATGTTGCAGTCCCATGGTATGGACTCATAGGTTATGCTCCTCAACCCCACGGGTGCGGTCCTTGGTAGAAGTGACCCCCCCTGCAATTCCCCCCCCCCTCCAGGAAAAAGTGAGAGTCTTCATGCAAATGGGAAAAGTCTGCATTAATTTGTTCCTATCAGTATTGAACAGAATCTACTTTTTTCTAAACTTTATTGATTTGGCTTATTTTTTTTTTATTTAAATGATTTATTTAGCACTAAATAATGATCTCAGGGCCAGTTGCAAGGAATAGCAAGCAGGGAGTAGGAAGGAATGAGACAGGTTTTTAGGTTATGTTATGCTTTTAATAGGTTATGTTACATTCTGGAGTATGATATGTTTTTATAGATTATGTCTGAATAGGATGAGAGTGTTGGAGATACGTGCAAATGTGTATGTGAACCCGGTCTTCGAGTGGGTGTTTGATTTTCGTTGTTGTGTATACTGTGTATATACGGACAATGACAATAAATAAATTATCTTATCTTATTATCTTATCTTATCTTTATATACTGCTTAACTATAATCATCTCTAAGATGTGTACAAGGAATACAGTACAGAAAATATAAAAATGTGCTACAACTATAAAACCAGACTTCAGTTAAAATGTCTTTTGGAACAAACAAACAAAAGGTATTCAACAGGTATTGGAAGTTCAACGGGGGAGGGGGGTCTGCCTGACCTCAGCTGAAAGGGAATTTCATAAGATTGGAACCACAATGCTGAATGCACAGCTCTTGGTGGATATGAGCTGTTTTCATCCAAGCCATGAACAGTCGTTAATAGTGACTCCTCTGAAGATTTCAGTGATGGGATACAAGGGATTAGGCAATGCTTCGTAAACAGAGTGTTTCAACAGTACAAAAGAATATGGCAGTTGCCTTCTGAAACAATGTTCTAAGAGTAACGGTTAACATGTTTTAAGAAAGCATAATTCCACCTCTCAGGGTTGCCTTTGGATAGTCTGTAAGATAGGCAAACAAGCTCTGATCATCTTTAGATGTATAGAGATTGGTATGATTGCCATTGAGATTATGGTTGCTTCCACATAGATCCAAAGTAAAAGTAAGTTTTACCAACTAAGTTTTGCTCATAGGTAGTCCTATTGAAATTAATAAACTTAATTTAGCTTTGTTCTTACGTAAATATCAATGGAGCAACTCTGATTAAAAGGTAGTTGACTATCACTACATGGTTCTTCCTGCATCAGATCCCCAAACAACATTCCTCAAAGATACCTGCCTCTTTCTGCCTCTGAGATTCTAAATAATTAAAGACCATCAAGCTTCTTTTGCTAATCACCCGTTTGAGGCAAGATAGGCACATAAACATTAATCAAAACCATTAACAAGATTGCTGTCATATGATAAATTACATTTCTCTATAACAGAAGCACTGCTTTCAAGTTAGATTTTTATTTTGCTTTACAAGGAAAAATAAACAAAAGAACACTACATTAATCAATTACATGCTGTAAAATATATATTTCCAAATAAAAAGAAAAGATTGCTTTTACAAAAAGGGGAGTTTTCCAGTACCTTATTTTGTCTTGCATTCTAATATAATATAAAAGGTCTTCATTCATTTTCAAAAAGATTGTTATCACATACCCTATTCCACCTGTAATGATTGTGCTAATTTACTTAACACACCTGTATCTCCTAATTTGTGGCATGCAATTCTGCATTTTTCTCTTATTGATTCTGAGGGGTCTGCTCTGAATATGACTGGATATCACCTGATATTTACATTTAAGGATTTCATTCAGATGGCAAGGGATAAAATAGTTGTCATCTATTACCTTTTCACCTAAGAAACAAATAATAATATGAACACAGACCTCAAATGTTCATATAGCTAAACCGTAAGTTGTAATAATTAATACTCCACCAATTTTAGATGCTCTTCTTCCTTACATGTAAAGCTTCCTCTGATCCAAATACTTTTGCATAGAGTTCACAGATTTTTCTCTTCCTACATGAAGAAGCAAAAGGAACAGACAAAATGTGAAAGGGCCCAAATCCATAATCATCAGGTTTTTGAAACTAATAGGATAGCAAAATAAGATTCCAAACAACTATCAAAACCACTGAACAACTCAAATCTTCCAGTGAGTGTATTTACTCAAAAGACTACATTTTTTGTACTAAACTGAAGTTCATACACAAAGATGGCAGACTTTCGCCTCTTCCAGAGAGTCGGAGCATGCTATTTAGTTGCTGCTTAGCTTGTTAGGTGACCTTGTCCAAGCTACTATCTCATAACAACCATGAAGTTAGGTTTGATTGTATGTATCTTAAAAATCTGACTTCTGCATCTTAAAAATGCGCCCATATACAATGATAAAAAATTAGTTATTGTTAGAGAATACAAACAGTTGCTTATTCTTACCTCTCCTCTTTGCTAAGATCTGCTAGTCTAAATGCCTTTCTTGTAAGGATAAAGCTAAACAGGGAGGAAAGTACATGTCAATATTGCATACACAAAGGTACCAATTGGGGGGAAAAGATACATGCGACCAAAATGTTTAGAAAAACCCAACAGCAATATGTAAGAGCTACATGCAACTAGTCTTATACTTCAGAAATTGGTAACTTCAATACAGTGCTGGATTCCTGCAATGGCATGTAGATTCCCTTGTGGTATGTGGGGATTTGTGGGCACAGCAACAAGTGCTAAAAGATAATGTTTGCATGTGTGTGAAATGAAGGACAGAGTTCAGGACATGCATGATGGAACTAATAGCAAGGCATAAATACATTTTTCTATAGGGTTCTCTAATGTTACCTAGCATACATTCCATAACTTCACACCAGCTGGCCTTGCACAAGTCTTTCTGTCAATATTTCTTGCATCTAATATATAAATGCAGGCTTCATTACCCCATAATAGCAGGTACAGAGTCATCAGGTTTAGTATCATCTAAGGTGATTGAAATTGGAGCCTCTTCATCCAAAATCATTGCACAGCCACAAAAATCTGAAAGGAAAAATAGAATGGCAGAAATACTCAGTGTGGAGTACTATTTCCAGGCACAAATGTACATTTATTTTAACATTAAGTATCCTGTTAGCCATTGCACATTTAGAACTCTTGTGCTGCATAAATCTTCCTGTTCAAACTTCCAAGGAATGCACTTTCTAATCTTAAATTCTTTACAATAATCATTTTTTGCTCATTGCAATATTCAAAAACTCTTTGATATGCCTCCCTGTCTCCCATTGTCATATACAATGATAATTATATTAAACACAGTTACTGAGATAATACACTGCATATCTATGTTGTGATTAATATGGGTTAGAAAGGGAAAGTGCATCAACACTAGTGATTGTACATATTGACAGGATTACACAACTTGTGTACCCATCAGACGAAACTTAGATGCTTGTTAACTCCACCCTTATTACAGTTTTACTTTGAATGTTGTCAGCTTTCTTGAGCTCTACCAGAGGCAGATTTAGGGCAGCATAACTGGGTGGTGCTGTGGTCTAAACCACTGAGCCTAGGGCTTGCCGATCGGAAGGTCGGCGATTCGAATCCCCATGACGGGGTGAGCTCCCGTTGCTCGGACCCAGCTCCTGCCCACCTAGCAGTTTGAAAGCATGTCAAGTGCAAGTAGATAAATAGGTACCGCTCTGGCACGAAGGTAAATGGCGTTTACGTGCACTGCTCTGGTTCACCAGAAGCGTCTTAGTCATGCTGGCAGCATGATCTGGAAGCTGTCTGCAGACAAACGTCGGCTCCCTCGGCCTGTAAAGCGAGATGAGAGCCGCAACTCCAGAGTTGTCCGCGACTCTTTAAGTGGTTCTGCTACACTAGATGGATAGCCTAGGGGGTGCCACATGGCATTAGAAGTATGACATAGTGAATTGAGCAAAATGGAAGGTGAGAGGTGGGTGGGGGGCACAAGATTTTCACCTTGCACAGTGTGCTACTCAAATTTGAAACGCCAAAGTCTATTCTGCTTTAGTAAGCAGAAAGTGGGATATAAATGAATCAATTCTTAAAGCACACATACCTGACTTCTTCCAAAAGGCTTCTTTGTAGTACATCATGCATTTGATAACGAAGCCCATGGGAATACGCTGGATTAACTGGTTTCTTTTTGTTGGTAGTTCTGGCTTGAAATGGATCTTTGTGGTTAAGGCTGGTGGGATGGCACTAATCACGTACTTGCTCTGTAAAATGTAAACAGGAAAACATAAGACGCATATCCCAGAAGAGCAACCATGGCAGTTAAAGGCTAACGCTGCTTTGTTAAATGTTGAAAGAGTAACATTTATCGTGGCATAAGCTTTTCATACAGATCTGTACGAGGAAATGTTACACACTTTTGAGAGATGTTCGCTCAGTACTTCAATCATTCTGACATTTACATTTGTACTGGATAAAAGCTGTGAGCACTGTAGTGGCAGTCCAGTGACATAAATATAAAAGGAAGGAAGCAAGTGACAGTGAGGACAGGAAAATGTCAGAGGCTGATGAAGCTCTCATAAATAGATCAATAAAATAGATTTCAAAGATTTTCTCAGTACTGAGAAAAGCAGAGTAACACACAAGGGTGGGGCTGATTACATTGGCTTAAAAGCTATAGCGGACATGCCCCCTATTAAATGCATACTATGTTTTATTCTTATTGGATTACCTTATATGTCTCATGGTTCAGTGTCTCCACAATGACACTATCACCTGATTGATCAATGTGGATTACAGGCCTCTCCAGTTTCACAGCGCCTTTGAGTAGTGCCATTATCTTCTCTGTTATCTGTCCAGAACCCCTGACAAACTTCCTCTCCTGGGAACACCAGCACCATCAGAGAAATAAGATAACAATGTTGTTATTTTTTTTTTTTTAATGGTGTAGTCCATCTTTAGTTAAGCTTGAGAGAAAAAGACATTGAAAGCTGGATTTCCCAAGTAATCAAAATCAGCAAACATCTTCAACATGTGCTTGACCTGGTTGACTACTGGCGTCAGCCCTGAACCAGAACCATATCTGGACAAAAGCACATTAGTTCTCTTCTATGGGATATGGTATCTCTAATACATTTAGTATAATTATGAAAGAGGTAATCATAGACAGTATTTTGCTATCATTTCTAGGTCAGAAGAATTCACAATTAATACAAGCACAGGGAAAGCATAAAGCTTCCAGCTTATGAAATATTGCTTTTACTGGGGACAGCAGTGCTACCGACAAAGTTTTCATTGAAATATTGTCTCTTTATTACTTTCATGTTCTCAGAAATTATACAAACTATTTTATAAATTCTGCTCTAATTGAAGGACCTTCCCAAAGACCCTTGTGATTAGGTCAGGCAATAAGTAGTACTGTACTTTGGGTGCATGTTTATTAAACTAGAGACTCTGGGCAGGAGGTGGTGGTGATGAGATACAGAATTCTTAAGAACACAGTAACTGGCTAGTAACCATAGAAACTAAACTGGATCATTATCAGAATAGCACAGTAAAGCCTCCATAGTATGGGGTGTGTGAATGTGGGAGAGGAAATAATATTAATCTAATTTCAACAAGAGTCTAAATGTTCAAAATAGCATGGTCTTCTGTTTGTTTATTCCGGCACATTGAGTTCTTGTCAAATGCTCTTTCTCCATCAGTTAGAGAAGATGCAACAGCACATTCTTCTCACAAGGAAGAATCCATGTAAGATTTCACATACCTGCCCTCCATTGGTTACAGAAAATATCCTGGTTGTTCCTCCACACAGCTTCACATACCACAGGAACCAGAGAGCAGAGACCATGTGTGACTCCGAAGTGACGTTGATATCAACAAAGAGTGTAGCAAAATCCCTAGTGGTTCTTTATACAATGAAGAGGTAGAAACAACAAAGGTTGAGAGCTATTGATATTAATTTGATATTATCAACAGTACTTTTCTCTACATTTTTTTTATATACTATTATTAGGAGACCAAGCAAAGATTCTATTTAATTGGCCTTCTTGGTAGTTCTGTCACCCTCGGAAGCTTGAGGGGTGGCAATGTGAGATAAGAGTAGCCCATAAACTGTGGAATTCCAACCAAACAGAGGTGTGCCTCCAGCAGCAGCATTATTTGGCTTTTATCACGCATTGAAGATGCACTTATTTATCCAGGGCTTTGATAACTGAATAGTATTATTTTGGCCTACCTGAAAATTGTGAATTAATGTAAGGATTTTAAAATATTATTATTGATTGTTGGTTTTCTTTTGTTTTAAACTCTATTGTTTCTGCCATTATAACCTGCCCTGGGACCTTATGGTGAAGGGTAGGTAAGAAATCTAATAAATAATAATAGAAGAGAGTGAAGTGTTTTCTTAATCTGATGAGGAAAGATCATTTTAATGAGTGACAGCTCCTCCTTTGGTCATTAATTTTGTACTGCTATTGATTTGTTCAGAATTTATTGCCTTTATTACGTTCCTAGATGTTATCACTTCCACTAAAAATAAATTGTCCAAAATCTCTGTTAATTGCAAAGACCTTAAAACTGCAGATAGCATATTAATATTGGTCTAGACCAGAATTGGCCAGCTGATGATCTGAGTTAGCTCCCAACTAGGCTGTTAGTCTACAAAAGCAATATGAATGTACAAATTCTATGGATTCAACGTACTGTAGCCTTATTTGTTAAATGGTTGCAGTCAATGATTAATATTTGCTTTGGGGAAAACTATATTTCACATTAAGGACACGGGTGGCGCTGTGGGTTAAACCACAGAGCCTAGGACTTGCCAATCAGAAGGTCGGCGGTTCAAATCCCCGTGACGGGGTGAGCTCCCGTCGCTCAGTCCCTGCTCCTGCCAACCTAGCAGTTCAAAAGCACATCAAAGTGCAAGTAGATAAATAGGTACCGCTCCGGCGGGAAGGTAAACGGCATTTCCGTGCGCTGCTCTGGTTTGCCAGAAGCGGCTTAGTCATGCTGGCCACATGACCTGGAAGCTGTATGCCGGTTCCCTCGGCCAATAAACCGAGATGAGCGCCGCAACCCCAGAGGCGGTCATGACTGGACCTAATGGTAAGGGGTTCCTTTACCCTTTACCTTTATATTTCACATTTAGTGGTGATGTTTGCCTCTGCCCTCCAAGGAAGCCTCATTAAGCTCATCATTTATGTAATTGAAAAGGTTTTCAGCATCTCTTTTGAACCCTCAGTACTGGTGTGTGTGGTGGGGCATGGCATGGCTGGGGCATCATGGCTCCTTGTCTGAACAGGGTTGGGCTGGGGTGAGGCCGGGAGCATGCAGCAGCAGCACTGTCACAAATCCAGCAACTCTGCCAGTGCAACCATGTAGTCCCAACCTCACCATGGCCCTGCCAAGATAAGCAGCAATGACGTCAATGGCAGGAGGGTGGCTTTGCCCCACCACAGGCAGTGCAGATACGCCTCATTGTGAGGAGTCTTCCCTTGAAGTCCACCAAAGTTCTCCCTATTCCTGTCTCTCAATGCCTGCATACATTGAGATGTGGGGAAACAAGTGGAACTACCTCTTAAACTGTGGGGAATGGTAATGGGTACTATAATACCATATCTCAAAGCCCCTCCTTTCACCTTCAGAATCAGGAACGTGTTTTCTATACATCTTCCAGTATTCATGTTTATTATTCATTGATGCAATGAATGCACTTTAAAAAAAAACAGATTTTATGGAAGTGATGGGGAAAGCACTGAAACGTGTGAGATGGACCAATGTTTACCAGGAAGAAGTGTGAACACCCTGAAAACAAATCAGAATGACTACTCATTGTTGTATAACTGCCCACCAAAGAAATCAGAATGAATGCTCAGTAAAGACTAGGTATTGTCTAACCTGTGCATAAGCTTTGCACAAGCAAATCAGGATGGATGCTTAAGGTCAATCCGTCAAGCATGTTCCGCACTTTAAGTATATTCTACAATTTTTAACTTTCTGCTCCCAAATTTATTTCTCTAGCCACACTGTATATGTGTGATTGGTTATTCTATGACTAGAGGAGAGAGGCAACATGAATAAGGCTTTGATGTATGTAGCCTGAATATGGCATGCAGCAAGCAAAGAAGCAAGTATCACATTCAGGTAAACTTTCAAAATGAATCAAATCACCTACTTGGTCCAGCAGTGTTTGTCAATGAATTCTTTCATTGTCATTTTGTCCCATTCTGCAGCATGTGGTGCATCCCAGGGAGCATCAGCTGGAATCTGAAGACCAGAGGTGGGATGTGGGGAAATAAGTCACTCTTCTTACTCGCCAGACTACATATATCACAGTTAAAACTGAACTTCCATCCATGCACCGAAAGAGCATTCAGGCAATAGTTTCACTCCACAGCCCCAAATGCATGCTAATACAATTCTCTCTGTGTGTGTGTGTGTGTGTGTGTGCGCGCATGCATATATATGTACACGTACGTATGTGTACGTACACACACGTACACACACACGTGTATATATATTCATGCTTCACAGATGCAGAACACTCCATGTGGAATAAAATTAAATAGGTGAATTCTTCTATTCAGAACCAGTAGAACCTTGTTTTAATCAGTCAGAACAGCTGGAGATAGGACAGCTATTAGTAGATATTTTCCAGAGCTGTCAAAGTTCACTATATGTACATTTAATACTCACTAAGATTTCAAGTGCAATCCTATACATGTCTACTCAGCACCACTGAGTCCAATAGGACTTATACCCAGGTACCCCGTGGGGGCTAATCCTTTTTGGCCTGAGGCTCCCATTCAACCATAACCAACCCTCCAGGGGCTGCACATGCATCTTGTACATACACACACAGAGAGACAGCACTTAAAGGCAGGTGTACAGGTGCAAAGTCTCCTCTCAGCTGATCCATGCAGATCAACTGGACAGAGACCTTTATTGCCCCATCTCTGCCCATCAGATGATCCACCTGATGACTGAGGAGGGGGCAATTTGCATCCCTCTCAAGGCACTGGGCTCCGCCCACCCCAACACTACGTCTATTTTATTTTCCCCTTCTTTGCTGCTGTTGCAAAATACTCTCAGGTGGAGGGAAAGAAGAAAAATTGGCTTGGACAAAATATATACCACTAACTCTGCTTCTGGGCAAAATAGAGTGAAGCTAGGCTGGGTCACATCCAACAGAGCCAGTAAAGCTGAGAGATTTCCACTATCTGTATTTCATTATTAGGATAGTGCTGGAAAGGCAGGTCTGCGCCTCTGGCACAATTTATTTTCCTGAAGTAAAACACACTTGGTTGTTAATCATGCCAAATGACACCAACTCATTTGGCCAATACATTTCATAATTGAAGATTTCAATGTCTACACAATGTTTATACAGTATAAAGAACTCTCTTTGATTCTTGATGGATTCTTACTGAATGCTATCTTCATGTAGCCCTAATGATTTTCCATATGAGCTTTTAGAAATATTGCAGATAATGATACATAGTATCCCTTCATTGTTTCTAGCATACCTCTTTTCCCAGTTCATCCATTGTCCTCCAAAAATTGTTAAAATCGAGATATACGATAGGATTCCACACTGGAGGAAATGCACCATGGAATGGATAGGACTTTCCCTGAAACAAATAAATATATGGAACAATGGATTTGTTTCCTGGCATGGATCTGAGGTCTCCATAGCAGTCATATCAGTTACAATCCACAAACAAAATTGGAAATGAATCCATAAACACAAAGTATAGAAAAAGATGGATTTTTCTGAAGACATCAGCCAATAAGCAAAGCTAGTTAAGGTAGCTTTCATACACAGAATATAATGTCCATTTCCGGGGTGTGGGTGTGTGGAATTAAACTTTCTACATGTTGTTATACCACAGTCAAAATCAAGGGAAATGTATTCCTTTTAGTGAGAATATAAGATAATATTCAAATATAAGCCAGACCGATCCCAAAACAAACCCTTTACACTACATACAGATTAATCAATAAATATTTAACTGGATGCAAATATTGCTGCATCATATGTCATTTCTGTGATTTCATGAATATTCTTAAATGAATGCCACCCTTCTTACTTTAGGACTATGGGGATCGGGACCACAAGGGCGTGAAAGGGTTAAGGTCTATCATTTCCTTTTGCTAACTGCATGAATGCTCTCATGTCTTCTGAGAAGAGTATAATTTTTTGCTGCTGAATCTACTACCAATTGATTTAATTTTGTGTCCCGAAGTTGTGATATGGGCGTGTGTGTCCAGAATGTCAGCAAAATGCATTGCAAAATCTGGGCTGAGGCTATGGCAAGAAAAAGCTTCGTCCTGATTTGCATGCATGTTTGAGTAAAACCTTTTACATTCATGCCATGTAGCTCATCAGATTGAAACTGCTCTTGAAACGGCTCTAAAAAGCAACATTTAAAAGTGTGCTCTATATAATTCATCTGCACAGGTTAGCAGGACATTTCAAATATTCAAAAAGCAACAGCTAACACCCCCATTTATCCACCCCAACAAACTGAAATCAAAGAACACATAATAAATGCAATAAACAAAGCTCAAGTTCATTGTCCAACTGCCTCAGAAATAAAGGTTAATGATTACTATGGGATGAGTATTCTGACCTCTAGGTATTGCAGAAACAAAATCTCCTACAGAGTTTTTTCTTCTTCTCTTCCTCCAGCTGTTCTCACCGTTCTGCTTTTGCAAACTGTGCTCAGTTTGGTCTTTAGGACAGACACTCAAAATTGAAAACTTCATCTCCTAAGCAAATAGAGTTGCTTTCTTATACTACAGAGACCTGCCCCACCCATCCTGCCAATTGCTAAACTTCAGTAGAGAAGCAGGCTAGCATGCACAAATTAGGGCATTGCCCATTAATTCCATGTCCCGTGTTTCCCTGGATGCCATAAAAACCACTGGGGTGAGACAGAGCCACAAAGTCACCCTCCTGACAGCAGGGTCTCTATAACACTGGTCTCAGGAGGATGGATCTGATAAGGTACATAGGGAGCTGCCTTATACAGAGTCTGACTATTGCTCTATTTAGCTCTGTACTATCCTCACAGGTTAGTAGCTGAAATATACTCAGTCGCAAAGTGATTTCATGCTCTTTATTCAGCTCATAGTGGTGAGAAGGAATGGAAGTCCCCTCAAAGTGTCTGCTTTATAGACATTATTTACACAATGGGCTGCACGTGATTGGCTAATTCCGGACTTCTCCTGTAGGCCAATCAGGTTGTGGATTCACTTCTATCTGGAGCTGGATTGGGTGGCTCCTGCCGACCAATCATACCGCTGCATTGTTCTAGGACCAATCAGACTGCTGCATTCTGAATCCTATTGTTCTAGGACCAATCAGACTGCTGCAGTTTGGATCCTATTGTTCTAGGACCAATCAGACTGCTGCAGTTTGGACCCTATTCAACTCAGTACATAACAGTAGCATCTCTCTAGGATTACAGGCAGGGAGAATTCCCAGCCCTACCTGCAGATTCCGAGGATTAAACCTGGAACCTTCTGCATGCAAGGCAGATGCTGCAACACTGAACTCCCTTCTAGATCTCTGCTCCCCTATTGCATGGATGTGAAACGCAGTGTTTGAATAGGCACCAAAACTACTGTTGTAGCTAAATAAACATAGTGTATGGAAACCAAATAAGAAAACTGCAGAAGACTTTTGGGCACTTAATCCTGTGTTGCTGCTCAGAGTGGCAGGGAGATAAATGTGAGTGGTAGTGCTCTAATGCAAGTTTTTATCCAAAGTAACTCAGCAGATAATCCAATTGGATTTACAGAAACATGAGAAAACTTGTCCAGTTATCACAGCCAAGTAGGAAACGTCCTCAACCCTTTCTTAGCTCATAATCACAAGATACACACCTTCTGGGAATAGAGGAACATGATCATTCCCATATAACTCAAGAGGGAGGGGGGAAACATCATCAATCAAGAAAGCAATTTCTCTTCAACAGTTAGAAATAAACATTTTGCTGTATCTTCTAAGTGCTCTGCATTCAGATTTAAAACTCAACAGTGAACTTGTGCTTAAACCAGTGACTGGAATTATGGTCTGAAGGTTGGGAACAGCATGTAACGTAACCAAGGTGGCATGACAGAAGTTATTTTTTATTGCATACAATTTTGGCTATCACACTCTATTGCTTTATTATTTTTAAATGACATTTGAGCTTCCAAAAACTTGTTTTTGTCTACGGTGTATTGGGGGGGTGGGGAGAACACACCTTGTAACTATGGAAACTCATGCATGTTTATTCAGATGTAAGTCCCACTGTGTCCTGTTGAACACACTCACAGCAAAGGATGCATAGACATGCAAGTGCAGAGTTTTGTTCGGTTCTTCTCTATCCAGTTATTGATTTTCAATAATACAATGTGTATATAAGGCAACAAGAATTAAACTGGCACACTCTTTCTCCCAACCCAAACCCCTCCTAGTTTTAGGTGACTAGTTACAACCCTTTTATTTCAGTGGATGTTTGGAGGCGCAAGAAGCTGGATTTATGCTGCTATTAGTAATTGTCATTTAATTATTCAATATTTTTTTTTTAAAGATTGTGTTGATTTATGGAATAAAGAGACAGTTCCTCCACAGAAAGCATTTCCACTGATAAGCATTCTCTTTAATTTCTGAAACCAAGATGGGACATTTTTGTTTTGTTGGAAACACGAGAACTCATAGCACTAAAATCTGTGGTTGTCCAAAGAAGCTGGATGTTGGAGGATTCAGAACAGACAAAAGGAAGTATTTCTTTACACAGAGCAACAGCAGGAGGCAGTAATGGGGGACAACTTAGATGGCTTTAAAAGAGGATTAAACCAGGCATTGGCAAATTCGGCCCTCCAGATGTTTTGGGACTACAACTCCCATCATCCCTAGCTAACAGGACCAGTGGCCAGGGGTGATGGGAGTTGTAGTCTCAAAACATCTGGAGGGCCGAGTTTGCCTATGCCTGGATTAAACAAATGCATGGAGGTTTTATAGAAGTAAAGGCTACCAGTGGCTGCTAGTCAGGATGGCTATGCCCTGCCTCCATGTTTGGAGGCATTCTGCTTCTGAATGCTTGTTGTTGGAAGGCACAAGAGGGGAAAGTGCTCTTGCACTTGGATCCTACTTGCAGGCTTCCCATTGACATCTGGTTGGCTACTGTGAGAACAGGATACTGGACTACATGGGCCACTGGCAGGATACAGCAAGTTTGTCTTATGTTCTTATGAGTGTTTTGGAATTTGGGGGATTTTTGTTGGAGGGCAATAAAAAAATTGTTCTGCAAATCTTCAGGTTCCTGAATCTATAAAGTCCTGATCAATTGCCTTCACTCAGCAGTGCTTCATGGATCATCCATATGCAGTAGGGAATTTATTACAGTGGTACCTCGGGTTACAGATACTTCAGGTTACAGACTCTGCTAACCCAGAAATAGTACCTTGGGTTAAGAACTTTGCTTCAGGATGAGAACAGAAATCACGTGACAGCGGTGCGGTGGCAGCGGGAGGCCCCATTAGCTAAAGTGGCACCTCAGGTGAAGAACAGTTTCAGGTTAAGAACGGACCTCCGGAACGAATTAAGTTCTTAACCCGAGGTACCACTGTATTAGAAAAAGAATGCATAAGAAACATTTCCACTCAACTGTCAATAAACAAACAGAAAAGAGATATATGTCCTTCATATTACAATGCATCAAATGTTTTCCTGTGCACACTGCTGCCAAAAGGAGATGTAGAAATGTAATTCTTACATTTGTATGCAGGATAACTCTCTCCTTTACGTTTACTTTGTATGTTTCTATGCCAAGTTCTTTAGCCAGTCGCAGAATTCGGTTCTGGGTAGGTCCCACGTAGGCTCCACCAACATCTACATAGTTTACTTGCTTGTTCTGTCAAAAGAGGAAAAAATGCAGGAATAACAGAACCTACTGGATGTTCCACACTGGAAGAACCAGGAAGTGCTTATGTTTCATAGCAGCAAACAAAGCTCCACCTCAGAATTAGGCCTAATTCACACATGCAAACTTAGAACCACAGTTATGTGTTCTACATAACTTTGTGATCAAGCAGAACCTTTTGCAGAATTGGCATCCTCTTTCAAGAATGTCATATGCTACATTTACATAAAATATGGTTATTGGCTACTTGTTTCTTACCCTAACTGTGAAAGTCCGTCCTCCAACTCTGTCACGAGCCTCTAAAACCACAACATTAACTCCAGATTCAGACAACAACTTAGCTGCCGACAGACCTAAAACAAAGACAAAATAGTATTTTATTTTATTTCCTCTACCATTAAAAAGTACTGGGTTGTCTCCAACAAAGTTGCTCCTTTCATGGAAGGACCTCCTCTTCTCCCTGCCCTCTCAAGCCCCCTGCATCTTCTCCAGAGGGTCAGGGAAACCCCAGTAGAGATTTGGGGAATGTGAAGGGGGAGTAGGAGGGGAGGGGAAGTTCATTGAATAAGTGCAAACAGAACAACTCTGTGAGGTGGAGACAGTAATGACCTTTAAACACATCTTAGAATCCTTTATGTTTACCCAAACTTTCCTGGACTCAGTTAATTTTTATTTTCCATTTTATACACTACTCAGTTTGATTTGTGACATACAGTAGCATTCAGTTGGTATATTGTTTTAATCTGGTTTTTAGGAATTTTATGAAATGCTGAATGTTAATGTTTTTATTGAAACCACTTAGATATATTTAGATAGATAGATAGATAGATATAAATACACACACACACACACATACGTCTGCTCAGAAGTAAGTCCCATTGAATTTACTTAAATTTAGTCCTAAATAGTAAGTGTATATAAGACAGCAGTCATAGTTATGTCCCACTGAAGTCAATGGAGTTTGTTACAGAGCAAGTATTCTAGGACTGTGCTGCAAGATGCCCAAAGGGAAGCAATCTGGGTTGTCCCTGGAAAATTGGAATCAACCTGGCAGAATGATGTACCCTCAATTTCATTTCCAGAAAACATGGAAAAAGAAAAGGCTGCCACCTATGAACCCAGGAGGGTGCATAATAGGGTTATTTTCTAATTGCCGGGTCATTTGTGGTTTGGGAACACCTGCTGCTGAGCTCCCAGCTGGCCTTTTGGGGTTTAGATTAAGAAAAAGGAGAAAGAAAAAACAACCAAAAAGACCACCATCCCCTGGCCACCTTGTAAGAAACAGACACTGCAGTTGTGGGCTATGAACTGAAGATGGTTGACCTAATGATACAGGGCAAAATTATTGAACAGTTCATTTGATGGGGAAGTGAGAAACAAATTAAATGAACTATTTTGGGGTAATCTCAAAGTGAAATAAATTGTTTTGCCTGCAGTTAAATTTAAATTCTAACTATTTCTAAATTTGTACCTACACATAAAAATTGGCAAATGCACATTTAATGCAAATTTCTGCCCTATTCCCCTCTTTTATGGTGCATATTCTCCCTTTGGGCAATGTGCAAATGGACACCCTCGAATTGGGTTTAATCCCCCCCCCTTTTTTAAATGTATAACTGCATAAGGATGGAGCTAAGTAACACAAAGAACCCCTCAAAATACAAAAACCTTATTGAATACAAAAATGGCTGGATAAGCAAAGTGTTAACTAGCCATATATTGGCTAGGAATATACTATGAGTGAGGAGGAATTACACAAAAGGTCTCAGCGCTCCCAACAATCTGAGGAAGGAAATAGGTGTACTGCCAGTCTTATATGTAATCCAGCAATTGGCTCTCTGTACTATCAACTAGCACAGAGGCAGGAAGGAAAAGCCCTTTGGAGCCCCATATGTCTAGTCTCAAGGCTTAGCATCACAAGCCTGGAAAGGACCTCAGGCTCACGTGACACAGTGCAGTCTTACAACAACCCAGAGTTCTAAACAGGAAAACAGAGCAAGCAATTTTGGAATTTTATCTTTATGCCACTTATTTTCCTCTGTTCCAGAATCTCACTAGTTCTTGGAGACTCCAAGTAGTAAGACACTACTTTGCCTTTTCTATGGAGAACAAAGACGCCAACTATGATGGGGAGGGGAGCAAGCTACACATGAGAAACAGGTCATGTAATGTTTCTTTAAAATCAAAGAGCAGCTTCAGGAGTGGATGATCAGGAAGAGAGGTGGATGGGGCTTTATCCTTTCCCTGCCAGCTGTTTTTCTGTTTCCAAATTCATTTGCCTGCCACAGTGTCTCTCTTTTGCAGTTCCAAGTATTCCAATGCCGCTGGACACAGCAGGTGACTATCTCTGTGCTGACTACATGACAGCTCACAACCATGTAGAGTCTGGCTACAGAGAGAGGTGGATTTTACCATTACCCCTCCCAGTAGTGGCCAGTGGGGTTGTGCAGCTGGCATTGCATTGCTCTCCTGGCTTCCCAATGCTGCACATTGCTGTAGACTACCAAGAGGGGGAGGGACGCAGGTGGCGCTGTGGGTAAAACCTCAGCGCCTAGGACTTGCCAATCGTCAGGTCGGCAGTTCGAATCCCCGCCGCGGGGTGCGCTCCCGTTGCTCGGTCCCAGCGCCTGCCAACCTAGCAGTTCGAAAGCACCCCCGGGGGCAAGTAGATAAATAGGGACCGCTTACTAGCAGGAAGGTAAATGGCGTTCCGTGTGCTGCGCTGGCTCGCCAGATGCAGTTTGTCACGCTGGCTACGTGACCCGGAAGTGTCTTCGGACAGCGCTGGCCCCCGGCCTCTTAAGCGAGATGGGCGCGCAACCCCAGAGTCGGACATGACTGGCCCGTACGGGCAGGGGTACCTTTACCTTACCAAGAGGGGGAGGGAAGGGAAGGCAGCAGGAAGTTCAGTGTGGCACAGTGGCAAGAACATTGGATTTGCTTCCCCACTGCACTGAATACAACCCCTTCTTCTTTCATCATGACTTTTAAGCACAGATAGTTCCAAGTCTGCAACTGTGTTGGAATTTTAGATGCTTTAATTGTGTGTTTGCCACCCTGGGTAACTTCAGGAGGAATGATGGGATTTCTTTCTTTCTTTCTTTCTTTCTTTCTTTCTTTCTTTCTTTCTTTCTTTCACCAGCACTGGTGAACAGTACTCAGCTGCATCCCTCATGTCTTCCAAATGTAGTCCTAGTTTCAAAAACCTTCATGCCATTACAATTTATTATAGACCTTGGCATTTTCTGAAGAAATTAAGCCTTTCCACCCAAAAGTCACAACAAAACATTACTATCACAAATTTGACTTATTCGCAAGCTCCTAGCAAAGTAGAGTCTGCTTATTATTTGGCCAGGGCAAATAAGTCATAGCCACTTGAACAGTTTGCCCAGGCGTTTCCATAGCAACTCAACTCAAGCTTGGAGGTGCTACAAAAAGGCGGGGGGCCTGCATCCCAGTTTGATTCTACAGTGCATTCAAAGACACTAAACTGCAACTGCCACATTCGGCACCAGAACTGACCTACTTTTAGAAAAAGCCCCCAATCTCATTGCCTCCAAACACAGATGCACAGCGATAGATACAATTTGTGCTACGATCCAGTATGATAAAAAGGAAAATAAACTAATGTCAGGCTAAAGATTACAAGCCAGTTCTTCCCAGCTGCCCCCAAATTTAGCTAAAAGTCAAAACAAAACATCAGCAAAATTCTACAAGAGCTGCTTGTTCTCATCACCAACAAATCCTAAGTGTGTGAAGAACCGTGAGTGCTAAGTAGAAACTATCCATTTGGCTGCAGACCAGAATATGGTCTGTAGCAACCCCATTCACATTAAATTGACTTCTCTTGTGTAAACAAGCTGTAGACTGAGGGCTTTATCTTAGCATTACTTTTAAAAAACATGCGTAAACTGTTAGTTAACTGCATTCCATTTGCAAGGCTCCCTATCGGAACCAACTCAACAGATCCAAACATGTGAAACTTGGGCTGTTGTTGCAATACTCCTCACAATAACTATTTAATATGTGCAGGTATCTCTCAGCTAGAAATTGTTCTAAATGTATTTATTTATGTCAAAGCCTGTAGAGATGTAGCAAGGTGCAAGTCGACAAGAAGGAAGTCAAAACACTTATTCATATATGATGTGCATGGGATACTAACCCAAAGGAGTGTATAATATACATTGAAACATCATGTAGCACTCCTCTCCACCAGCTTTGGGGGGGGGGGGGGGAGAGGATTAACCCACCAAGGACTGTGTGGGCTGCTGGGGCTTCCCCCGTGCAGGTGGGCAGGAGGCTCAGAGCCATGGGGAGGCAAGCTGCACCTGGTCGGGCCTTAGGGGCTGGGATGCCAGCAGTGCCTCCTCCTCCTCGTGGTCAGCTTAGGGATGCTGAGCATGCCCTGACACTGGGCCTGTGGAGAGGGAAGGAGGGGTAGGGTGCCTGGCCCCTCCATGTGTCGGGGCTGTTGGAGCATGCATGCACATGCTCCCTTCCACCCGCCGAGCCGCCTCCGCCTCCCTGCAATCGAGCAGCATATAAATTTTGTTAAATAAATAAAATCAATGGTTACTTCTAAGAAAGGAGGAAGGTGGTTTGTATGATTTTCCTGTGCAGTTCTTTACTAATTAAGGAAGATTTTTTTAAAACTGCTAAAGTAATGAACAGCTAAATAAATCAGTCACGAATATGAGCTTTATGCTAGAATGATAACACAAGCATCCTCCATGAGATTATGGTTATCGTGGTGCATTAAAAAAAAGTTATTGGCCTATTAGAGCAGTCACCTTGCTAGTTAACGCTGAACAGTAAGCACAGAAAATCCCTTTATGGTCTTGTCTTTGCATTTTATTTGTGCATTTATTTCCCAACATTTCTCCTTTCTTATTCACTGTCCACATCAGTTAGTGGTAAATAAGGCTAATTATCGATGTATCTTTATTACATTAGAGCTCCACCATAACGATGCACTTTTGCCATGATTTACTTTCGCTGCTTCCTCGATGGGGAATCTAATTATTCCTACACACAACTGAGAAATGAAATCTGGCAATGGCCCATCTTAACTTCAGCTCTCATTAGTCAAACAGGAATCTCTGTGCCAAGTAAAATGTGGAGCTGCCAATATGGGCCAGATAATACTTCAAAAATCCCCCCAGGGATAAACTTTCCTGCCCATTCTTCCCTTTTCCAATATGCAGTTGTGTTTTAATGGTATTTTGTTAGAGCAGCTTACTGAAATGCATGGCCTAGACTTGTTTTTTCAATGCATCTTTAGGTAGCCACCAATAGTCAAAATCCCTTTCTTTTTAGGATTATACCGGACCATAGGACGCACCAGACCATAGGAGGGGGAGAACAGGGAAAAATTTTTTTTTCTTGTTCTCCCCCTCTAAAACAAGGTGCGTTCAAGGTGCATTCACCCAAGCTTGTGGGGCTGGCAGTGGGGCGAAGCGCTGCTTTCCCCCACCGCCAGCCTCAAAGATCCCTGAAGCCTTTGCGTGCAGCCATCCCCAAGCTAGAAGAGTGAGATGGAGCCCTCCGTCTCGCTGTTCTGGCTTGGGAACAGCCTTGCTACCCTCTCCAGGGCAGCAGGGTGAAGGCACCCCGCTGCCCTGGAGAGGCTTTGCGCACAGCAGTCCCCAAGCTAGAACAGCGAGACGGAGCGCTCCACAGCGCTCCGTTTCCCTGTTCTGCCTTTGGGCTTAGCGGCGCAGCCTGCATTCGCTCTATAGGATGCACACACATTTCCCCTTAATTTTTGGAGGGGAAAAAGTGCGTCCTATAGAGCGAAAAATACGGTAATTCCCAGTGATAAACCAGTCATGAGGATGAACAGACACTGTGGATAGCCCAAAGACCATAGGCAGAATGTTTACCACACAGAAGTAATTGCATAGTAAATAAAGTTGTTGGTATTCTATCAAGATGACTTTGATATTGTGGGAAATTGCAGTCAAACATAGCAATGCATGAGAGCTAGCTAGTGTATAAGGGGTATGTTCTGTTCCTAAACTAGGTCACTTTCCCTTACCTCCATGAGGAAGAAAATGAAGCTTCTTCCCCTTCCTTCCTTCATCTCTCTCTCTTTCTCTCCCTCCACCACCCTCCCATGTGTCAAAGAAGGACATGGCTATGCTTGCTCCCAAGCTTAGAGCAAATGTTTGGAACTACAGTCTGTATTTTCTACCCAAGAGTATTTTTCCTGTCTGCAAAGCATATATGATATTTGCAGATGCTGTCATTGCAGAATTCACAAAGCACACCTATATTTTCTGTTTTTCATATATTTGAAAACTAGTTAAAATTATGATTTAGCTGGATGAGCAATTCTATGAAATGGAATAGGATTCAGTTTTTTTCTTCTCAACTACTTAGTCATGTTTGATAGATAAATATGGTAGGAAGCACTTTCATTTCCCACTGCTACCAGCAAATTTGAGAAGCCACTTGTCTTGGCAACATGTTTTTGATGTTCCAAGCAACAAACCACTTACTACTATATTCAGAGTCCTCTGTACTAAATGAGATGATTCTAATTATGAACATAGCTTAGAGTTACTATGTCTTAAATTTACTTAGAGATATACCTGACTACAGGGTTCTTTTTGATGTTGCTTACATACTTCCATTATAACCCCTAGAACAAATACAAGATCACAGAATCCTGACCATGATTAAAGCAGTTCACAAATGCATTCAGATCCTTCTTCACCAATATTATTCAGGAAAGTGTCTGTATTAACTTCCTCTGTACTTTGATCTGCTATATAACATTGACTCAAGCTGATGCTGCAGGATCAGAACTAGGAAAAATTATTGAAACATTTCCCAGTATTCACCTCCATTTTATTTGTACTGTGGAAATAATCAATACCACCACTCAACTCAAGTTGGGATACACGAATGATAGGAATACCATCATCCAATATCCCATCAGAGATCAATACAAGTTCCCAGTTAATGCATTTTATTAAGTTCTGTGGTTAGTGGCCAATGTTATGAGGTCAGAAGTACCTAGTTCAGATTTTACCTCAGTCATGAATTGGTCTTAGGCAAGCCACACATCTTCACCCTTGGTTCACCTCCCCCATTTGTAATATAGAGTTACTAACAATAGCCAACTTTGCTGTAAGGGTTTCCAGTAATAGGGATATGAGTGGCCAAAACACTTCATTTTCAAAAAGCACAATATAAATGTATGTATTTAAATAAATAAATAAATAAATAGGCAGCACCTATTTCCTGGTGCTTATTCCTGGCAATTTTTTTTTTTAGTTTTATTTGTATATTTTTATGGGATTTCTTGTGTTGTTGTTGTTTTAGCATGCATAGGTTTTACACATTTTGTGATTTTTAAACTTTTTTGGGTTCTCTCACCCAAGGGTACTTGCCCCAAACTTGGATCTTGGCATCCAGGGAATTCTTCTTCTATATGCATTTATTTTCCCTTGCACCAACACAAACTAGCACACAAAATACATGAATAAAATGTACAGCAGGCAGATAAGAACTCTCAGAAATATGTAATGCTTGGAGAGAAGGGGGGGGTTGTACTCTTACTATTATTAATTAAGCACCTCAACTGGTTCTCTTAACGGGATATGTATGGGAATGCTGGAGGGAGTGGGTGAAATTGCTTTGCACCCCATGTAGTGGAAAGGACAATTAAGACAAAGCTTTTTTGGCCCTGGCCCCTAAAAAATCTGGAACTCCCTTTTGATGGATGAATGTTCAAAAGTGATTTGAAATACTCATCTCCAAGTTCATGGGGAGGGTCATGTGAAATGTGCTTAGGGACTGAGATGTTAGATTGCAAGTCTTCACGGCTGGGGCCATCTTTTGTACTGTGCATCTCAAGACCTTCCTCAGTTCACTGAACTTATAATTGCTGTCATAAAAATACAGCATAGAGTAATAATGAAATTATGGGACATAAATGACAAAGAAGACTGAATTCTTATCCCAAGGCCAAACTACAGGCTAGGCTGAAAGATCCATGATTAGCTGATTCCCAAGCTTTTTTTTTCATGGAAGAGTGGAGGTACTAATCTGACTGGGGATAAATAGAAAGGGCTTGAGGTATTTAACCCTTGCCCCTGAACTGTTCTTCCAATCTATATCACATACACATGGCGTTTGCTCTGTCTTGAATAAAAATTCAGACATGAAAATAAGGGACTTATATTTCTCTCCCATCCCCCCCACCCCCAGCATGGAGCAATATTTAAACTGGAAAAGGGTTAAATGCCCCCATCCCCGGCACCACTTCCTGATCAAACTAGCATTCCCTGCTCCCCCAGCTGCATTGATCTCCCACAAAGCAACAATGATCTCCCATTATAACATGGAACTTGGACCTCACCCTGCTTCAAAACAGGGGACTTCTAATTCTAATAAATCATTGCTCTGCTGCTGTAAGATACCAACATCAACAGGGTGTGATATTGTACTTTTTGTTTGCACATCCTGCCTTATTCTATCCAGACGAGTGGGTGTGACATTGCTGATGTAGGTGTGGAACTTCACTTGACTAGATTGGGTGGGGAGCGCGGGAATGGCAAGCACCATGTGGGGGAGGAAGTCAATAATCAAATAATAAGCCAAGCACTTATACAGTGGTACCTCAGGTTACATACGCTTCAGGTTACATACGCTTCAGGTTACAGACTCCGCTAACCCAGAAACAGTACCTCGGGTTAAGAACTTTGCTTCAGGATGAGAACGGAAATTGTGCTCTGGCAGCGTGGCGGCAGTAGGAGGCCCCATTAGCTAAAGTGGTGCTTCAGGTTAAGAACAGTTTCAGGTTAAGAACGGACCCCCGGAACAAATTAAGTACTTAACCCAAGGTACCACTGCACTCTCTTTAGAAGAGGATTAGACAGATTCATGGAGGATAAAGCTACTAGCCACAATGGCTATGTACCTCCACTGCCTCTGAATACAAGTTGCTGGGAATAACAGCTGGGGTGGGTACTGCTGCACTCAGGTCCTACTTGCGCGCTTTCCATGAGCATCTGGCTGGCCAATTTGAGAACAGAATAATGGACTTAGATGGGCCACTGGCCTGATCTAACAGGCCCCCTTTTATGTTCATTTAAGTGTGGTTGCCTATTACCATCCGTGAGATTTGCATGCTTAATATCTCAGATGAAGTGGAATGTGACTTCAGATTGTTCAAAGTTATGCTCTGTAAACCCTACAGCCTTAAAACCTGTTGTTTGGGGGCTGGCTGTAGCTATTCTTTGGGACTATGTGGAAAGCACTCTGTACCTTCTTAGGGTGTTTAGAGGCACCATCTTTATTCTTACTCCACATGAGATCTGGGCCCTGAAAACAAATTCAGCAGCCATGTTCTAGCTACAAATAAGCACCACTCCCACTGTTATTTAATAAGAGACCTCTGTCCTTTAATTTAGAATAATAATGCTGCTCTCAGTCTGAAGGGCTCTGTCTGATTTTTGGTAGCTTCCTGAGATAGAGGCTTGGAGAGAGGTCAATGAAAGGTTTTCCACATGCTCTCGCTGTGGCAAGCATCCAAGAAAGCAATATGATACAGCCAACTGCTACTGAAAAACAGGAACAAGGCTGGCACTATGTGTGTTTGCTCCCTTAGCTAACACATCCTTTCTTTTCTAATCTGAAGCACTGGAAGAAAAAAATGAAGAATAAATAAAAGTCTGACAGTGAAATAGCTAAATAAAGGAAGCTTTGCACCCCTATGCTAGGAGGACTTCCTCCAAAATTCAAGAGGTACTTACTTCTGAGGCAAGTGTGTGCAAGAGTGTAGCCTAATTGTGCATGCAAACTCTGAAGTAAGTTGTACTGAAATTCAGTAGGACGTTCTTCCTGGTATTTGTACACAGACTCATGGCCTTCCTTATTCTGTTTATATACTACTTTCCTATAGATGTGTTTTGTCATCTTAATTTTACAATTCCAGGCTGTAGCAAAGGCTCCTCCTCCTATGTATATGTATATTATTTGCTTTGAAAACGTCCATGCTGACATTCTGTAAAAGCGCTCAGGGTGCTGAACAGTCTGCTCAAATAAACAATAAAAACATAAAACACCACATAGGGTTTGAATGGCATGGGTGTTCACTTTGGGACAACATTCATTTTTGAACATCCTTGAAAATGCAATACAAGAGCTGGATTATATTTCTGCAAGTGCAGGCTTGTTAAACAGGACAGAACTCTTACGCCTGCAGGGAGCATGTCTCTTTGTTATAAGGCAAGTAAGTGGGTTATAGTTCTTCCAGTGTTATATTTCTAGCACACAAGTTATTCTCAAAAAAAGACGCCCTGTGTTTGAAGTGTCCAAGGGAATTAATTTTAATGTAACAGACAGTAGCTGGGCAGCACATATTGTGCAACAGGGGTAAGCACTGTGCTTTCAAGCAACCTGTTAACTGAGCATCCACCCAGACTTGTTTGCATGGGAATTAGATGATACTAGCTATTTAAAGAGCATTGATTCCGATTTGTTCAATGGCTGTGTCAAAACAAGTGCTAACTCACACTTTCCAGTGCATTTTCCTGTTAGTTTCCTTAATGCACGGAGTCTAGTCTTGTGTGTGTGTGTGTTGCACAAGACCTGCCAATCAACTACAACTGTACTGCCGAACTCAGTGGGACGTACTTCTGAGAGTAGGCACATGTAGGATTGCACAAAAAATGCCAACCCCCTTGGCTGAGATACACGTATTCCATATCAGAATGCAAGTGTCTGCCTCAGGTAGGAAAAGAAACAGAAGAGGAACTCAACAGGTGCCAGCAGCTTTCCTGGGAGCAACGCTGCAAGTCAACAGTTTTGGTAATTTGTGTGTATGTGTTTTAAAGGGGCGACTCAATGTATTGCTTTCGTTATCCGTCAGTGAAGGCTTTTAAACACACACACAATGGATCACAGTATCTCATCGTGAGAAAGTCTTCCCTAGCACCTGCTCAGGTCCTGTCCTCTCCTCTTTGGCGAAAGCCTTCCTCTCACTGCTGATATGATCCGTCTGGGTGCAAAGCGCGCTGGGCGGGGATGGGCAGAGCAAGCTCCTGGATTCAAAGCAGACCAGAGTAAAACCGATCGCAGCGGGACAAGAAACAAACCAACGAAACACTGCGAAAACGAAAGCCCCTTGTACTCTCTCGGCTCGCAAGAACTTCCATCGCGCGGTGCAGCCGCCAAACTGCCTGACAAAAGCCCTGTGGCTCCTCCGGACCCCGAGTCCCAAGGGAGTGGGGCGCGGCGTGAGCAGCCTTCTGACCCCGAGCAGAAGCCGGCTCCGTCGGCGACAGGCAGCCAACGCCGAGCCTCGGCTGGCCCGGGGCAGACTTCACAGGGGGCCAGGCGCCTCCGGAGCCTCCGCCACCAAGTTCCTCTCACGAGCTCGGCCGACGACCTTTCCCCGAGCTCGCCTCACCCCGGACGCCTTTCCCCGCGGGGCCACCACTGTCCCCAACGCGCCCAGCCGGTCTCCCGTGACTGAGGGCGCGACCCTTTCCCCGCCCTCGCCTCCCGCAGCACCGCCAGGCCGGTTTCCTCACAAGGGTCACCCGGGCGGGCAAAGAGCGGGGAAGCTCACCCACCTGAGATGCCCGCGCCGACCACCACCACGTCGCAGTCGACGCTCATGGCTGCTGCTGCTGCTGCTTCTGTGCCCTTCGCAGCTCCTGTCAGCGCCGCGCCCGCGCCGGGCTTCTCCACTCGGGCAAAGCGGCCACGGCGGCAGCCCTGGGAACTTCCCAGCTGGGTATGACGCCCCGCCCCCTCGCCGGAGCCGCCAATCAGGGCAGAAGGTTGGTGCCCAAGGGGCGGGGGAGGGGCGGGGCGGGGCGGGGCGCTGCTCTTGGCCTGACAGCGGGTCTCTCAGGCCCTTCTCGGGAAAGGAAGAGGGCGAAGTCCCCCAACTGGCGAGATCAGCCCAGCCTCTTCCCACTCATGTACACTAGTGGCCAAAATTGTGGAAAGCTTTTGGAGAAAGTGTGTTTCTGAGGTCTGATGGCTCATAACACCACTTTTTTATCATTATTAATAACACACTGACAAATGCCCTCCTTATTTATGTTGTAATAATCCTTCATAAAAGTTATTGCATTACATTCTTCATTAAATTAACTTTCCATTGATATATAATTTTATGGTATTACTAAAAAGAAAAGAAAAAAAGTGGTGTTATGAGTCATCGTAGCCAAAACAAGATGCTTGACTCTCTTAACACTCCTATTTCTGGTTATTTGGCTATATCTTTTGATAGAATACCGATAATGGAACAAACCTTGTTGCATTACATTCTTTATTGAATTATCTTTCCACTGACATATAATTTTATGGTATTACTCCATAAAATTATATATCAATGGTATATAATTGGTAGGCAGGTAGGCAGGTTGAGGAGCGCCCACACCACCTATTCTTATTATAATAGGATCATAGGGTTGGAAGGGACCATCAGGGTCATCTAGTCCAACCCCCTGCAATGCAGGAATCTTTCGCCCAAAATGGTGCTCGAACCCATGACCCTGAAATTCAGAGTCTCTTCCTGACATCTGTTGGCTGTCAGAATATCAGTCCTTTGAATCGGATCAGCTTTTCAGAGGCCCACCTATCTTTCTTTAACATGATCTCCTTATCTTTTGAAGGCCATCGTTTGCAACATCAATGAGATATTGATAACGGCTTTCTTTGCAAGATTTATTATGATGTGATGATTTACTTTTAAGTGTGTTCAAAGTTCTTTTGCATAGTGAGAAGTAAGGCCAAACTCAAACTGCTAGTAAATGCCACAAATAGATAAGCAACTTGATGAGAACCGACAGAATCAGCTTTATTCCACCTATCATAAAAAGTGGCGCTTTATTTCCCCCCTTTTATGGGTTCAAATGCTCAATCAATATTGGCAAAGTAACTGTGGTGAAGCAAAGCAAGAATATACCCTCTGTGCAATCAGGTGTAAAATGCATGTTTGAGTTCACATAATATATTGACAGTTGTTAAATACATAATCATAGAACCAAAGAACCATAGAGCTGGAACAACTGTAGATGCCAACAACATCATTTCAGAGCTGCAAAGGTGTTAAGAGCCCAAGAGTATGAGGACAATAGTATGTAGAATCATAGAGTTGGAAGAGACCACAAGGGCCATCGAGTCCAACCCCCCTGCCAAGCACTGAGCCCACCCACTCCCTCAATAATGTAGCTATGTTTGCAACATTTACACTTGTATTTATGTATACTGGTTTATATTTTAACTATCAGTTAATAATAGTTTCAAATTCTGCAACAGTGTTAGACGGGGAACTTTGTACTGTCAGCAGCATCACTGTGATGTTGTCACAGAGTTCTTCTCAATTTTGGATGTTTTAGAAGGACTTGTGTCTACATTTTTGCTTCTTTTGCATCCTCCAAATGCTGCCTGTGCAACTTAGGTACACAGAATTTATATTTGTGGTGGGTTGTTTGGGGGGGGGTTGTATAACAATATATATTTTGATTGTATCACTTCATAGTAGTTGCTAAATGAGCAACATTGTTATATGTGAATGTTATAGCAGCTGCATGGCAAGCAGAATTTGAAAAGGTTTGTGTATCTCTATGACCAGCCTTGGTTGTTAATTATTATCTGATGAGATTCTCCAAAAAATGAAGGTTGCCTCCAATCTTAGCTTAGAAAACCACATGCTAAAAATAACCACGGCTTGCATTCCGGCCAAAGTTATACGGCCAAAGTTCTGTCAGTGCAAGGATTTTCCTTCGTCAAGAGAAACTTCTCCCCTTCTCCTCCCCTTGTGTGCCCTCTAAATATGCCCTAGCGTTTCCCCAACCCTCCAGAGCAGATTTGGGAATGGGGTACATGGGGAGGGGGGATTCCCATTGTGCTAGTGGGAATCCTTGTACTGGCTTCTACTAATGCAATGGTAAGCTGGACACGAACCCAAGATACAGAAGCCAGCTTGCATTCATACAACCTCCCTTGTCTCAGCTGCTGATGTATACTGGGTCATTCACAACTGCAGGCTCTGGGATCGCACTTAAACTGAACAAGGGCCAGCAGTGTTTGAATGGGTCTGCCCCCTAACTCACCCCGGAGACTCCTCAAAGAGCTGTCCCCTCCATGGGAGCAGTGGCACAGGAACACTGGCAGCTGGTGGCCTTTGGATTGTGTGGGGCTGTTTGCTGGTCAAAGAAGTCATCAGGATTGCAGACAAGGAATTTCCTGGCCCTGCCTGGAGGTGTCAAAGAACTATAGCCCTTCCAAACAGATGCTTTGGTACAGTTTCCCCCTTATCATGAGTCTCAGTTGCTCGCTCCCATGTACAAGCCAAGACACAGGAAGAGGGAGAAAACAGCTGAAGTGCACAAGTCAGAGAACTCTCAAGAATTTTTGTGTGTTGGAGTTGATGCTGGGGAGGAAGAGAGGCCAGTTCAGGAGCTGTAACACTGCTGCACACTCAGGGTTTAATGGTCCCGATGGGTGCTACTCTTGCCCCAAATGTCTTCATGGGGGGCTTCCACCATTAATCTTGGCCATGCTTAAGCAGCATGCGGCACATGGGGATAATCTTTTGCTGCAGTGGAAGAAAGTGTGCTAGCTTATGCAAATGTGAAGGCAGTATGGTGTAGTGGTCAGAGTATTAGGCTAGGATCTGGGCCAAATACCTGCTAAGCCCTGAAGCTCACTGGGTGACTTTGGGTCAGCTATTGTCTTTCAGCCTCACCTACCTTACATGGTGGTTTTGAGAATAAAATGGGTTGGGCATCATATATGCCATCCTGAGATCCTTGGAGGGAAGGAGGAATAAAATGCAACTAAAGATAGCCAAAATTAACACATGTGTATTAGATACCAGACTTGAATGTGATTTTCATTCTGAGAATCTTTTGTATGGTGTTCTGAAATCCTCTTTTAAAAGCATTTTTTAAAATCTATAGAACAGAAGGATAACTGGAGTTCTGATTCTCTGCCAACAATATTGAAAGCTAGCAGAGTGGAGATTGGAGTCATTAGCTTTCCAGATGGCTGGCTGCCCTTCTTGACTGGGGGAAGCTTGTTTTGACATCAGAGTGAAGAGAACCTGGATAAAGGATGTGGAGAAGAGACTTCGTAGTAAAGCCAAAGACCTTGTCGATCACAGTATCACAGATTTCTTTTGCACATATGGAAAGCCATAATCAGTACAACAGTTAAAAAGCATGGCATTATTCCTGGGATGCATCTGAGGCAGAGTCTAAAATAGGTCATATCTTCTGTTTTCTTTCTTTTTCATTCCTGACTTTCAGAAACGCAAGGCTTTACCATGGACACCCAACAGAACACTAATATTGGATGTTAAAACTTTCTTATCATGACTAGATACAGTGGTACCTCGGGTTACAGACGCTTTAGGTTACGTGATTTCAGGTTGCGCACTGTGCCAAACCTGGAAGTACCGGAACGGGTCACTTCCAGATTTTGGCACTTGCGCATGTGCAGAAGTGCTAAATCACGCTTTGCACATGCGCAGAAGCACCGAATCGCGACCTGCACATGCGCTGCGCATTGCGAATGCTGCGGGTTGCGAACGTGCCTCCTGCACGGATCACGTTCGCAACCCAAGGTTCCACTGTGTGCACTTTCTGATTAAGATTTCTAAACTTGTGTTTTGCTAAGTTTCCATACTTGTATTTTTATACCACCTTTTTCTCCAAGGACCTCATAGTTCTGTTCCTCCTAATTTAATCTTCACAACAACCCTGTGAGGTTTAAGCTGAGAGCCAGTATCTGTCCCAAGGTCACCCAGTGAGCTTCATGGCTGAGTGGGGATTTGAACCCTGGTCTCCCAGCTATGCTTCACACATTCAGACATAATACAGTCTCAAAGCACATAAGTGCTTTATTTACCCACACAAGTACTTTATTAAAAGTGCTCTTCCACCCTGGAGCTCAGTTGTAAGACAGTCCCTGGCATCAGGTTTCCAGTCTAAAAGACAGGACACATAAAGTAAAAGGGAAGGGGGCGGAAGAGAAGAAAGGTAAGTACGAGCACCAATTTTTAAAGTTTCAGCCTATCCTTTTTGCTCCTTGGCTGGAAGTTAACATACATAGTGTGAAAGGTACAGAGCAAAACAAGGAGAGGAATTGGTTTAAGGTGGATGAGTTGCTGGGGGAGGAGGATGAAAGCTAATGGAAGCCCACTGTGATGATTTTGCAAGGGACTTTGAGGATGAAATCACCTGTCTCCATGTGGATTTGAGGGCTGGCCCTGATAGTGTCTGTTGAAGGGTCTGATATGTCATTCTATCTGATTTTGAGTTTGATTTAAGTTACTGGTGCCTGGGGTTGTGGACCTTTGCAGCTGTGTGGCCTCCTATATGCTCTCTTGACTGGGTAGATCTAGGGTGTGGTGAAAGCACAGTATGGGTTGGTGCCTGTTGTGTGAGGTTGTAGGTGTGGCCATTCCAGGGGAGAAAAAACCATCATGAAAACAGAGATTTGTGCCAACTTCCACCCAGTCACCAATACAACCTTGGTGGGGGGGGGGGCAAGATAATTGAGAGGGTGGATGTTCAAATGCAGATGCTCTGAGTTGGACTTTGTTGCCTGGGTGTACAAGCTTTTTTAGAAGGAAACCAGAGAGTGCAACCTTGTTGCTTCTCCTGGACCTCTCAGCAGCTTTGGATGTTGTTGACCATGGCATCCTCCTGGACTACCTGTGTGTGTTAGGAGCACAGTTTTACGGTGATGTGAA